TGCTCCTAATCCTCCCTTGTTGCGCCGCTTCTGTGTGCGTGTTTTCTCTCCCCATGCTTGTTTGTGTGTGCCTCACGTCCTGCGAGACGGACGGGAATGGCAGCGAATGGACGGGGACTGTGCATGTGCATGTGGGCGGAAGCGGGGAAGGGGGTTGGGGGTGTGCATGTGTGCGTGTGCGTGTGTGCATGCCTGTGAGTGTTCTTCTCAGCCTTCAAGCTCTGGAGTGTGGCGGATTGCTTTTTGTGAACCTGCCTGCTCATCGGTGGGGACAACAAGCTTCTATCTCTTCCGTGCATGAGGACAAGAGGTAACTTGGACTCAAGTGAATGCACCGTGCATTGCTTTTTGTCGTAGTCCTTTTCCAAGCTAGTATCCTCTCTTTCACATCCTCACGCCTCTCTTCCTCTTCCTTGCCATCTCGTCTCCCCTCGCCTCCAGCACTCACAGGGGGCACCGGCTGCATTCAAGCTCTGGAGTGTGGCGGATTGCTCTTTGTGAACCTGCCTGCCCATCGGTGGGGACAACAAGATTCTATCTCTTCCCAGACATGAGGTAACTTGGACTGAAGTGAAGATGCAGCAGCAGGGCATTAATTTTGTCTTAGTCCCTTTCCAAGCTAGCATCTGCTCTTTCACATTCTCACGCCTCTCTTCCTCTTCCCCTCGCCTCCAGCACTCACGGGAGGCAGTAGTTGCAGCAACACAGGGGTCACCAAAGGCTGCAGCGTCTGCAGCGTCATGGCGAGCACACAAGAAGCTGTGAGTGGATCAGGTCAAGCAGTGTGCACTTCTCTTTTCACCATGTTCCTGCATTCCGTGTTCCTGCTCGCTTGTCTACCATTGTTCCAAGGTGTTCATGAGTCCTTGCTGCTGTGCTGCCATATGTTCATGCTACTCTTCTCAGGTCCCAAACCTCTCCTCTCCTCTCCTGTCCTCTTCTCTGCAGCAACGCAGTGGTGGTCACGACGAGAGCAACAACGGCAGCAGCAGCACCAGCAGGCTACGAGGAACCTGGAGCACGGGCAGCAGCAGGTCGCTGCTTGGGGTGAAGGCTTGGCGCAGGGAGCAACGGAGCTACATGGAGCAGCACACAGGCGTGGTGCAGGAGGCAGAGCAGCCGAGCGGCAAAGCGGCAGTTGGAGCGTGGTATCTGCCAGGAGCTGCTAGCAGGGGGGGAAGTGAAGAGAGTCGTAGGAGTCGCCGCGCAGAGGCAAGAGTCATGTTTTTTGCTTGCGGGTCCATCACTCGCCTCCTGCTGCTTCTAACCCTCCTCTATTGCACTGCTTCTCTGTGTATCTCTCTCTTCCCGTGTGTGTGTGTGTGCCTCACAACGTGCGAGATGGAGAGCAATGGCAGCACGTGGAGCCTGTAGCAGCATGCGTGAAGTGAAGGCAAGAGCGCAGGAGCGGCCGGGCGGCGAACGAAGCATGGTACATGCCAGGGGGTGCTTGCGGGGGGCCAGTGTAGTGAGTCCTAGAGCGTCGCCGGCGCAGAGGCAAGAGTCGTGTCTGTTGCCCTTGCCTCCGCCACTCTCCTCCTCTCTTGCTGCTTCTAACCGTCCCTGGTTGCTCTGCTTCTGTCTGTGTGTGCCTCTCCCCTCACTTGTGTGTGCTTCTCGGCCTACGAGACGGAGGGGAATGGCAGGGAGTGGACGGGGGGTGACAAGCTTGCGGGAATCGTTCTTGCCCAAGACACAGCAGCACCGCTGGTGAATGCAGCAGCACTGGTGAGTTGTAGCAGCAGTAGCAACGGCACCTTGACTTTTCAGCCAAGTATTTTCTTGTCCGAGCCCTTTGCCTGCTGTGATGCCAAACGCTCATCACTTGTATTGCATGTGCTTCACTCTTTTCTCCTTTATAATCTCGCCACTGGTTGATTTTGGCTCATCTCACAAGCCACAGACCCCTCCCATTGCAGATATTAACAGCACACCACGAGCAACCTGGAGCAGCATGCCTGAAACCTGGAGCATAGGCCACAGCATGGTGCTGCTTGGGGCAAAGGCGTGACGAAAGAACCGCATGTTCTGCCAAGGAGGAGGAAGCACTTAGCTGGAATGCGGTACGTGCCAGGGGGTGCTTGCTGGGTTTCAACTTCAGCAATGGACAGGCGATTACAAATTCCCCAAGTGCTTCCGGGTTGCCTCTATGTGCTGGTTGCTTAATATTGGTTGTGTTCTTGTCTAGGCTTTAATCATCTCCCTTCATCCTTCTCCTTATTTGATCGTTCTCTCCTCTCTCCCGTCCTCCCCTCTACATGTCGCATCGCTGTCCCTGGCAACAACTGCGGGGGAAGCAGTGGCACCAACATCACATGGTGTGTGTGGTGAGAGATTCTGGGGGGGGAGTTGCTGGCCTTGCTAACATACATTTCTCACTTCGTCCCTTTTAACAGCTTTACTTCCGTGCTGTTGTGCGCTTTTGCAGCTTGTACGGTAAGTGCCCTCCTGCTCCAATTCCTATTTCTTCCATATCTCATAAGTGGCTCTTGTGGTGATGTGCAGGGCGAGGTAGCAGACATGCGGGCCGAGGCAGTATGGCGGTTTACCACCAAGAGGTCAAGATGGGCTGCTGCTGTGCTTGGCTGTGCCTAGCTGTTCTTCGCTGTGCTTATCCATGCTTAGCTTTGCCTAGGTGTGCGTAGGTGTGCTAGGTGTGATGTGTTGCGCTGTGCTTTGCTGGGATGGGTCTGCACTGCATGTTGTGGTAGTTTAGGTGGGTGGGTGGGCCGACTGGAAGGCGCCTGGGCACGAAGACCCAAGCAGGATGGAGTGTCCTCCTGCGAGTGCTGTGTGCCACTGGCATGATGACATGCCCGATGGCATTCCGTGGCATGAGCAGGACATCGCTACCACAGGACAAGTCCTGATACAGGACTTGGCCCGATGGTCTGCCGTGGCATGAGGGGGACTTTGCTGCCCCAGGCCCTCGTCGCTCAGCGCTGAAACGACAGTACCGGTAAGTCGACCTGGCTGCTGTTGGCCAAGCTCTCGTTCAGTGACGTGCTGCTGGCATGAGAGGAACACTCTGATGTGATTGTGGCAAAGATAGTGCAGGGAACCCTCCCATACACTGCAGGGGATGAAGCATGCATGCACATACAGAACGCGGCACCACAAACAGGCCATGTGACAGGCAAACCCCTCTCAGGATGACAGGGACTGCCAAGAAACAGGGGTTTCTCACGTAGTCACACCTGCCAGGCCACAGCCACCAACCAACCAACCAGCCACTCAGTCACACAGCCTAGCAGCCTACCACCTTTCCAACCATCCGCCTGCCCTCCCAGCCTACCAGCTTCCCAGGCCAAGTACTGGCCAAAATTGAAGACGGAAATTGGCAAGTCATCTCGTGAATGTTATGCAGGTTGGTACGGTTGGGACTGGGTGACTTGCATACAGAATTACCGTACCGTAACTTGAGAGGGCAGTTCGGCCTTCATTTCACATGAGCAGGATGGGATGGGACATGGAGAAAAAAAACTACCGTATCAGCTCACAACACAAGCCTGATGTGGTAGTTAGATTTGATCAAATGCTGGGATATGCCATGCATAGCCCTGGGCCTGGTAACAACCACCACCACTTTCTATGGCCTCTGCAGTGTGGGATATATGGCATGGATAGCCATAGCCCTGTAGTGTGGTCGTGGTGGACTCCCACATCCTCCTTCACTTGAAGACACAAGTTCAGTGACCGTTGGCACACCACCACTGCTTTTCCATCTACACCACCTGCACTATCTGTCCTGCCAGCAAAGCAACATGTTACGTGTACCTCTCCACAATTACAGCGTAATGCAGGATTGTTCTGGCAAAATCTGATTTCGAAAACATCATTATCTGCGATCTTACAAGGAAATGTGCACAATGACAAGCCTGCTAATGGTATTTAAGGAGAATGGGTGGAATTGGATAGCAATGCTGCCCAACGGTGTTCCTGCTGGCTGCAACGATGTCACCACAACACGATTCAGCTCATTCCCCATTTTGCTACAGCATCCAATTCCCCCTCCCAAAAATACGGTAGTCTAATACCCAATGGCACATCAATCGACCAAAATCATGTGGTGCAGCAGTCTGAATGCAATGCACCACATTGATGATTGTAAACTGGCAAAGGAAAGCATAGTATCACACATACGACATGAAAACCCAGGAGCAAAAAGCAGCGAACGCGAACAATGGTTCTTCCCAGGAAACCTGGAGAGAGCGTAAGTCAGAGTTTACGAGCTTCAGCTCAGCTTGAAAGAAATTATGATGTTTCAAGAATAGAAATTAGGCAGCACAAACCGCAGGCATTCACAGCAAGCAGGCGCTGCGATCTGCGTGCCACAGACTCACAGACCGCACCTGCTGTGCTGTGCTTTAGTTGTGCTGCCACGAGCACCAACACACTGCTTGCTTGCCATGCAAGCAGGCCGCTTCACAGTGGACCTTCAACATTCGCTTTCAAAGTTGGCAACCAGTAGGTTTCGGTTTCGCATTTGACTGAGGGTTCGGGCTGGGTCAGCCCGAACCGGCTCTTGGCCGAGAGAAGACACGAGCGTGTCTGCTGCAGGTAGGTTTGTGGGGGACAGCATTGGCATTGGCACACGGGGTGGCTTTTGAGTTGACTCACAAGAAGTGTGAGGCAGAGGCAATAGCACAGACGAGAAATGGTCGCAACAAATGCGAGGAAACTTGCAAGAGGAGCAGAAAGACTGGGGCAACCGCACGGTTGTCGAGAAGCATGCAGGGGATGGTGCTGCCACGTGTCACCACTCACACACGCATGCGGGGACACGGTAAGCCAGCATGGATGCGTCCAGAGGGATGATGAGGCAAGGCCAATGCCAATGCCAATGCCAATGCCAATGCCAATGCGTGGCTCAACCGGCCACGAGGGGCGGGTGAGACAGCTGGGACGACACGGGGCCACAGAGACTGAACAGGTGTCATGGCCGGGCGTCTCACTCACCTGTGGCATGCGAGCAGGTGAGCAGCGTGGCAGAGCGGCGGTCAGTAGTAGGTGGTGGGCACCGACGCATACTGCCCGTACGCACTCGTCCCCGTCGCACCGCCTGCACCCGCTGCCCCCCCGCCACCGCCCGCACCACCCGCAGGCGCAGGGGACTGGCCAGCAGACGGTGGCGGCTGAGACTGGGCGGGGCGGCGCTGAAGCATGGGCGGCGGGAGGAGCAGGAGCTGCGGAAGTAGCGGCAGCATGGGTGTTACCATACAGGCCTGCATACGTGCCCCCATATGCACCCCTGTAACCGCCTGCAGTGCTGGGAGGGGGCGGCCCGCCTGCATAGACCCCCTGTCCTCCCCCCTCTCGCTTCACCTCCTGCTGCTGCCCCCCTCCCTCTCCACCACGGCCTCTCTCTGCCCCCCCTGCTGCCGACTGCTGCTGCTGCTGCTGCTGCTGCGGCGGCTGTGGGGGGCTTCTGATCATAAGCCTGCTGCCGCTGCTGTTGCTGCTGCTGCTGCTGCTGCTGCTGTGGCTGCTGGTACTGCTGTGGCTGCTGGTATGGTGGCTGATATGGCTGCTGCGGGGGGTGGCGGCTGCTGCTGTGAGTACGGCTGCTGATAGGGCTGCTGCTGCGGCTGGGTCGAGTAGTGGTGAGAGTGTGCGTAGGAGCTGGCATGCACAGTGACATCACCACATCACACCCAGAAGGACGAGAAGGGAAGGGAAGGAGAGGCAAGGGATGAGAAAGGAAGAGAAGGGAAAACCGCTGAGGCGTGTGATAGGAGAGGCAATGGAGGGAAAACAAGGACTCGAATTGAATACAAAGCACACAAGAGGGCGAGGGGTGGGCACTCCTCACATGAACCAGCGCCTCTCACAGCAGCACTCACCGCTCTGCACCGCCTGCGCTGCTGCCACTGCCCGCCCCGGCCGCCTGCTGTGACTGCGGGTGCTGCTGCTGGTAGTACGGGGGTGGCGCTGGTGGTGGTGCTGCGGCTGGGGCGGATGATGCACCCCCAGTGCCGTATGGAGCAGAAGGGGCAGGAGGGTAGGAGTAGGACGGCGGGTAAGAGGGTGGGGCGGGGTAGGTGTGCGCAGAGGGGTAGGAGGAAGGAGGGTTGGAGGGGGGCGGGTGTGTTGGTGGCGGGTTGGTGTAGGGATGAGCGGGAGGCGTGGAGTAGGGGTGGGGAGGCGGAGGCGCGCTGTAGGGGTGTGCGGGCGGGGGGGTTGGAGTAGGCAGAGCGTGTGGGGGGAGCGGCGGGAGCGTAGGGGTCGGTGCGTGGTCGCTGGCTGGCGTGCTGCACACACACATGGTGGGGGGGTTTGAGGGGGGAGGGGAGGGGGGGGGGGGGGGGGTGTTGTTGAAGGGGAATGAACATGGGACGGAGGAAATTGAATGACGGGGAAGGAGGGCACGAGGGAGGAACAGCGAGGCCTAGGGGGAAAGGCGAGGGCAGGGGCGGATAGGTGGGGCGGGAAGTGGCTCACAAGGCCGTCAGGGTTGTCAGCAGGGGGGTACGGCCGCTTCCCTCCACTCGCTGCTCCCTCTGCCCGCCCATACTGCCCCTCGTATGCCGCCCCTCCATACTGCGCCCCACCGTATGGAGACCCACCGTACGAAGCCCCCCCATACTTGCCACCGTACTGCTGCAACCGCACTGTACTGCGCGCCACCATACTGGCCACCATATGCAGCCCCAGAGGCGGCATAACCCGTGCTGGGAGCACCATATCCCCCTGCCGCTGCCCCCAAGCCCGCACCCAGCGGTGGGGCAGCGGGAGGAGCAAGAGGCTGCATGCTAGGCGAGACAGGAGGTAGGCCCGAGCGCATCACATAGTGCATGCCCTGAATGCGCCCCAGCCTCTCTGCGTAAACTCTCCCCCGCTGCCGCCTCCCCCCAACCCCGTGCCGATCGCCCCTCCCCCATACACCCCCAACGAACCATACCCACCCACTCGCCTTTCCACGTCCCCTGTCCCCCACCCCCCATACCCCCCACCATCCCTATCCGCCCGGCCCCTATCCCCCCCTCCGCGCCCGCCATACGCCCCTCGCCCCCCGCGCTGCGCCCCTCCAGGCGAGCCTCTGCCGCCCTTGCCCTTGCCCATCTGCTTCAGCCGCGCCTGCCCCGGGCGGGTGAGCTCGCTCTCCCCCACGCCCGCCTGCAGCAGCGCCTCCAGCGCCGCTGCCGCCGCCATCTGCTTGGCGCGCAGCTTCATGCCCGCGCGCGCCTCGCCACACACCCACGGGATGGGCGTTGGGGCCGCCGCCCAGTGAAGCTGACGCGTCAAAGGGGCCTGTGGGCTCGCCCTTGAGCTCGTACGTCACCTGGCAGGCACCGGGCAGGCATGGGTCGGGTGGGCCGTGGGACAAGATGCAGACGTTAAGAATTCTGGCGAATAGAATGAAAGTGCGGATATGATCCTGTGCGGATGGGATGCCTCAGGCGACGGGTGGACGGGAGGCACATTACCACCAGCGAGTGCAGGCAGGCATGCAGGGTGATCTCACCTCGATCTTGTTGCGCATGGCGAGCTCGTTCAGCATGCTGAGGGGCGTCTTGTTCGACAGCTTGAGGTCCTGCCGAACATGCTCACAATGCTGTGCACGCGCGACAGCTGGTGTGACAGGTACTCGCTCTCGTCGTCCGACCCAAACACACACACCGCACACATCGAAGCGATTCAGCCCTGCCGTGTTCTTCCCCTCCCTCTCCCCCGCTTGCGCTTTCCCTGGCGTCCCCGCCTCCCCCTCTGCCCCTTCCTCTGCTTCCCCTTCTGCGTCCCCCTCCCCATCGCCTGCGCCCTTGGATTCGTTTGCCAGAGCTGCTTCCACTGCCGCCGCTGCACTCCCTGCCAACCCTCCCTCCTGCTCCCCCACGCCCCCTCCATCCTGCTTCACCGCCTCCCCTGTCCCCACTCCACTTGACCCATCGCCACCATACCTCCGTTTTGCCCTCCGCCCCTGCGCCTTCCCCCTCCCCAGCTTGCGCCCCCTGCGCGCCCTCCCCGCGCTCCTCGCGCTCTGCCTGCTCCCTCAGCGCCTCCAGCAGTGCCGTCACGCTGCCGTCCCCAAAGTCCGCGCGGCGCTGCTCCCCCCCTCCCGCCCTGCCGCCGGGAGGCGGGTGGCGCGGCTTGCGGTCCTGCGGCTTTGCTAGAGTCACACGCATCTTCATCTGCAGGTGTGGGTGGGAGAGGGGGAGGGAGGGGGACGAACGGGGGGAAAGACATGGGGGGGTTGAGACGAGCACTGGAGGCGAAGAGAGAAGAGCAGATGAAGCACGATAATGCAGCACGGCAAGAGCATGCTTGGGTGCACACTGGAAGTGAGCGTGAGCACGATGAGAACACTTACCTGGAAGTTTCCATCGACGACTTGTGAGCCGTTGAGGGCGGCAATGGCAGCGAGGGCGGCTTCGCGGGTGGTGTAGTTGATGAAGCCGTAGTCCTGCCGCTTGGCGGACGGCAGGTTGCGCGCCAGCACCACGCGCTCTATCTGCCCGTACCGCCCGAAAAACCCCGCCGCCCGCGGCTCGTCCCACGAGGGCGGCATGCCGTCCACGAAAATGCTCTTCACCTGCCAGGAGGGGTGGGTGAGGGACGCAGGCGGGTGAAGAGGAGCGGCGGGTGATGCCAGTCAACACAGTCGCATGGAGGGGCACAGTCGCATCAGCAGCATCCCACACCCCATGCCTACCATCGCCCCCACGCACCTGTGCCATGACGCGCTGGTCGGGCTCGTTGAGGGGCGCGGCCCACGACACGCGGGGAGGGCGGTCCACGCCCAGGCTCACGTCCGCCTGCTGCAGGCGCTGCTTGGCGGCAGCGGCGGCGCGGTGCGAGGCGAACTCGAGGAAGGCGAAGCCGCGGTTGTGCCCTGCGTGCTGCGGGTCCTCCATGAACGTCAGCGCCTCCCACGCCCCCACGCCAGCCCCCGCCAGCACCGCCTCTATCTGCCACCCATGGCGCGCAACACAGCACACGGCAGGCGGGGACGGAGGGGATTGCTAACGATTGCAATGAGAAGCGAATAAGGTGAATCAAACAGCTTTGGGCAGGTACATGAAATGAAACGAAATGCATGACGCCTCGAAGGACAACAACCCTAAAAATCGCTTCTATGTTCCGCCGCCCCGAGCACATTGCCGCTAAGCCACAGGGAGGTTGAGTCTCGAAGAGCTCTTGTGAATCCTGTAACATGACTGACCTTGGCCTTGGACCACGTCTTGTTGATGTTCCCGATGAACAGCGTGTCCTCCTGCTCGCCGCCCAACACCCCACCGGCCTCCCCCGCACCTGCACACGCGCCCTCCACGTGCCACGTGTCACGTTATAGGAGGAAGGTAAGAAAAAGGCGAGAACGACCGACAATCTCGAAAACAGGGCAGAGCAGAACGGGTGTCGCCGTAGACCGGCCACAACAAAAGTCATAGGCTCCGACGAAGTAAAGTCTGAAACCTAACAACGACCGGCGCGTACCAGTATTCGGTCCAGTTCAGAGGCAGCTCGGCGCGCAGCGCCTTCAGTGGCGTACTGCACGAAGCAGTAGCCCTTGTTGCGCCCGGTCGCGGCGTCGCGCGGCAGGCGAACGTGCGCGATCTGCCCGACGCGGCCGAAGACGCGCTTGACGTCCTCCTCCGACGCGTCCTTGTCCAGCCCGCCCACGAACACCTCCATCTGCTTCTCCCGCTTCCGCTCCGTCATCGGCGTCGCCACGCTCTGGTCCCCGCCCGTCGTCTGATCCTCCAAACCCGTCGTTCCGCCGCCTCCGTCCATCCCTCCGTCTGTGCCTAAGCCTCCGTCTCCGTTGACGTTACCAGCTAAAATTCCGTTTCCGTCACTGCTCGCCACCGGCAAACCCTGGAACCACGCCTTCAGCGGAACCTACGGCCGGGATTGAGGACTGCGTGTGGTCCACGTCACGATCTCCGGAGCCTGGTGCGGGTGGATGCACGCCGTCCACGTGCTCTGGTGCTGCCGCCATTGGGGCTTTCGATAATCGCAAAGGTCCTACTCGGCACACAAGATGAAGGACCAAAACGCTTTGAGACGCGAAAGCATGCGACGTGACTATATCTGGCACAAACCTATATCTGGACCGAATAGCACCTGGTATTTAGGGCGTGTGACATTTTCCTATCTTGCCCGTCCGGACAAGACATCGTCCGGACATTTTTAGGGTTACCCGTGTCGTTAACTCTCGCAGGATTTATCGTTAGTACCCTATGCGACGTCGCAAACGATCGGACTTCAGATGGAACTTTTTGCATAAATTCCCTCTCAAATTGTCCGGAAGCGTACCGTTCGAAAAACGGACGGACGCAACAGTAACGCGACTTCACTGGCCGACGAATTCTTCTCCGCGAGTCGCTTGGAAGTTACCTATCTCGTGATGGCGTCGTTGTCCTGGTTACAGTCTCGTCAGTATTCTAAATTTCGTAAGTGTGAAAAAGTGTCATCACCTACGTCCGGACGAGGCTCAGTCTGGACGTTGCCTAGGACCGTCCGATATTCGGTAATCGAACCGTTCTTGGACAGTTGTCTGGACTTTTACCTCTTTTAGAAAATGTCACACGCCCTTAGGGTGAGCAACAAAGACGAGGGCGAACAAGCAGACCCCTGCGTTCACACAAGGCGTTCCCCACAAATGGCTTCCAGCCATATAACATCCGCGCTAGAATGAGCCTCACTGGATTCCTTTGGAAGTCGAGTTGATCATCGAACTCGTAAGCCTTTTTGCTTTCAAATTTAGCGGCAGCGCAGAGCCTAGACAATGTTTACAATTACCGACACACAAACCGACACTCATCAGTTGTCGAGCTCAATTGGAGTGTCTGTGAATAATTGCAGCAGAAAGAACGCGTCGTTGGATCATTGGCTTGCATTGGCTTGAGTTCAGAAGGTTCGATTATTTTATATTCGCGCCACACGTGCCAGCAGCGATGGATGGCATTGGCTCCCATTGTGCGGCTGAATCTACCAGGGGATTTACGTGTGAGACTTTCCCCCGTTCCCCTCCTGACCCCGATTCACCACCAGTTTCCCGCCAGCTGTTTAACGAGTTACAAGGAGCCACGTGCCACAAAGCGAGGGCACTCGTGCTCTACGCCGTCGATTCCAGCTGAACTCAATCCCCAAAAATGTGCTGGCGCGCAAAACCAGGCATTCCCGACCAGCCCCTATACATTTCTGGTACCCCGCTGAGGAAATTTAGATCTCTTCCCCCCAGCCTCCTTCAACCCTTCTGCTTGGTCCAGTCCCACTAGCGACTGGCTTTTTACCCGCAGGCAATGCTGGCTACCTTCAGGTAGACTGCGTCGCACAGAAGAATTCTTCTCTTCCCATGCTCTTCTGGCACACCAGTTACGCGGACAATCCCGTGTTCGTGAAGCACTAGCTACTTACCGCTCGATCCGAGAGCGTGAGGTGTCCGCGCGCAATGGCGGATGTGTCGTCGCTGACGGCGTCGTTTTGGAGCGTGGTGGACGGGATCGGCACGGTCACGCTAGCGTGGACGCTAGCCCTGCTAATAGCCGCCACGTACATCTCGATGCAATACTCCCGCGACAAACAAAGAGATGCGCTCGCTAGTGCCACGCCGCTAGAAGAAATGCCGCTGGAGAGACTAACTGACGCCGGGCGACACGATGCGCGAGTAGATCAGAGCAGCTCCGCGGAGCAGACCAGCGACGACGCGTGCATGGGGAGCGGTGGCAAGGAGGAGTACGACGCGCTGGTGGTCGGAGCAGGCATTGCGGGATGCGCGCTCGCTTACTCCCTCGGAAAGGTTAGGCGCGACCCATTTCCTAACCTGATCGTCAAATCACATTAACTGTAACCACCTGATGTCAAATCCTTGGGCATTTCTCAAGCTCCCCTTTCCTTATGTGACCTGTACGTGGTGCTGTGCGATGCTGTGCGGCAGACGGGGCGGCGAGTGCTGGTATTGGAGAGGGATCTGTCGGAGCCGGATCGGATCGTGGGCGAGTTGCTGCAGCCCGGTGGCTATCTCAAGCTCGTCGAGCTGGGCATGCAAGGTACGTCGCTGGGAATGCGCCATACGAAGGTAGTCATTGTTCGTCCAAGGTACTCCAAGATCAGGTGTCCCCTCCCTCACATTGCGCGGTACTTGATTCAGCCATGTCTCTGCGCTTTGATTTGCTGCCGCCGCTCACGTTGCCGTGGCGCCCGTGTGTGCGCAGACTGCGTGGACGGCATCGACGCGCAGCGCGTGGACGGCTACGCGCTCTTCATGGACGGCGGCGATTGCAAAGGTGTCGTACCCGACGCTCTCCACGGCGCAGCTGCACATGCTCTTCGCGGGCCACCGCCTCGACTCGGCGGGCAGCGCGGCGGGCGAGGAGATGTGGAAGGTGGCGGGGCGGGGCTTTCCACAACGGCCGGTTCGTGCAGCGGCTGCGCGAGAAGGCGGCATCGCTGCCCACGTGAGTACGGGAATGGGAACAGTCGAGGCTATGGTTGATGAGGCCCGGGCTACGGCTGATGTCGCTGGGACTACTTGTGTTCAGGCCGGGGCTGCGGCTGATCAGGCCGGGGTTAGGTTGAGAAGTACCTGCTGCAAGAAAGAAGAGGTCGGGTGGTTACGTGGGCAGGGGCGAGGGGATGGCGGACTGATGCGAGGCCGTGAGATTCGCTTTGCTTGGCACGGAGCCGGCGCACGGAGCGAGTCATCTTAGGAATTGATGCGCTGGCGGGACGCACAATGGAGCAGGACGCTTATTTCTCCCCTGATTTGCTCTTCTCCCGCATTTCCTCCGCTGCCTCTATCCGCCCCGCCCTACGGTGCGATGCGCGCAGAGTGACGCTGAGAGAGGCCACGGTGCTCGGCCTGCTGGAGGACGGCGACCGCGTCACGGGCGTGCGCTACCGCTCCGCCAAGCGCGCTTCGGGCAGCGCGCAGGGCGAAGTGCGGGAGGCAAGCGCGGTGGGCGGGAAGGGCGAGACGGAGGAGGGCGAGATGCTGGCGCCGCTGACGTTCGTGTGCGACGGCTGCTTCTCCAACCTCCGCCGCTCCATCTCCAAATCCAAGGTACGCCCGCCCCCGCCCCTCGCCCCTCGCCACAAATCTCACTTCACGCCAACACGCTTCTTGCCACAATTCCCCGCCAACCCCAATTCTCCGCCTAATGCTTCCGACCCGCCAATTCCCGCTGCCAAGTGCAGTCCCCGTCTCCCCTCATCCGCCCTTCCCGCTTCCCCTTCCTCCCCGGCAGGTGGACGTGCCGTCGTCGTTCGTGGGGCTGCTGCTGCGCGACTGCCCCTTGCCGCACCCCAACTACGGGCACGTGGTGCTGGCGGACCCGTCGCCCGTGCTCTTCTACCCCGTCAGCAGCACGGAGGTGCGCTGCCTCGTCGACATCCCCGCCGCACCAAAGTGCCCTCCATCGCCTCGGGCGACATGGCGGACTACCTCCTCTCCGCCGTCCTCCCGCAGGTACGCCCCTATTGTCCCTCCCCTCGCCTCCCCTTTTCTCCGCTGCTGCGCGCTTTGCTCTCGCACAGTTCTGCTATTTGGCGCCTTTGGTTCACGTTGATGCGTCTCTCCCTCACGCGCCTCGCCCAGCACCCACTTTCAGCTCGGGTTGTTCTCACTCCCCTCCCCACCCCTCCTCCCGCCTCCTCTTCCCTCCACCTCCCAGCTACCGAAGCAGCTACAAGGGCCATTCCGAGAGGCGGTGCGGGCGGGTGACATCCGCTGCATGCCCAATCGCATCATGCCAGCTGTCCCGTCACCCGCCCCGGCGCGCTGCTCATGGGCGACGCATTCAACATGCGGCACCCGCTCACAGGTACGTTCATTCCGCGCCGTCTCTGCCGCATGCTGCTCTCAGGAAACACGCGCCACCCGCTCTCACATGTGCTCTCACACGTCCTGGCGCCATGCAATTGCGTCCCACTGACTCCCGTGCCCTCGTCCCCCTCTGCCTCACTGTTGTCTCTGATTGCTTGCCTGATTCCCCGCAATGACAGGTGGCGGCATGACAGTGGCTCTGTCTGACGTGTCAGTGCTGACTCAGATCCTTCGGCCACTCAAGGACTTCCGCAACACGCGGCGGTCTGTGAATACGCCGAGGCCTTCTACACG